GCTTTATTTTGGTGGTATTTATTCACCGCTGGGATTTTTATTTTTTTTGCTATGTAAATGAAAAAGTCAAAAAATTTTGAAAAAAAGTGTTTTTCTTATAAGATTTTGCAAATAGTATTTCATCATAAATCTTGCCGAAATTTATTCCGTTATCTTTTTAGTAAAAAAAAAATAACCCAAATTAGTTTATAACCAAAAATTATGATTTTTAAAATTTATTTTTTTTCCTTTTTTTTATTTATTTATTTATTTTTTTACCTACTGTCACCCTACCAGTACAGTGTCACCATGGTGATGCTGTACTACTTGTGGGGGGTGATGAAGATTTTTTTTTTTTTTAAACTGATTGCTTTTAGACCCATAAAGGCTGTAAAAGTAATCATTTCTCCTCTCTGGCTGCATTCTTGCAGCCATTGAGAAATACTGTGTGAGCTGTGATTAGCCCCAGTTTGTTACATGGTACAAGGCAGTTGTGAATAGCCCTGTACCATCTGACCTCTGTGATCATTCACAGATTTCACACGTAGTAAGCAATGATGTCAGAAGTGACATCTTGCTTACTACTCTGCATGTGAACACTGATTGGCCAATCAGTGATCACATGATCGGGACCGCGCACAGAGGTCCCGTACGACTATCGGTGTTCCACTGTGTCCGGAAGACACAGCGGGCACTGGATCGCGGTGCTGCGCGCTCCCAGGGAGCACGCACAGCTAGAAAATTAACGGCAACCTGCCCCTGGAGTGCCACCGTCCTGCCGTTTATAAACAGCAGGCGGACGGCAAGTGGTGAAAAATGCATGAACACCATAGACATTTCAATAAATCGTGAAAGAAATCCCAAAAAGTCCAATATATTGCTCTTCACCTTGATCCGCCATAATTTTGCCACCACTGTGCCCAAATGGATGTCTCCCCACCTTACAAGAAGGACCCCTTGTAAGGACCCCTACAAAGGCTAAATCCCCTTTTCTGGCACGCCGGTCGTCCTAATGCAGCACTCATAAGGTGTAAACCTAAGGAAAGCTTCATAGTGTAAAACTTTTCAAGTCTAGTCTTTGCCCAGCGTGATGACGTGCCGCCCAACTAACGCGTTGCGTCCTTCCTGGACTTTCTAAAATACAGAAAATACCTGTTGATTTTGCCAGAAATGCAGTGATCTTGTCACTTCCTGTGAGGTGCACTGAAAAATATCTTCCTACCTAGTTATCATTTTTGTAAACTACCAGTTGCCCTGTCCCCAATCTGATGGAGATGAAGAGATACAGAGATGTTTTTCGTCCATATCAGGGGCCTCGGGCGACAACCATGACTCCCTCCATAGATGGAGGAATGACGTAGCCACCCAGGGACAGGAATTGTGTTATTTGCAGGATGAAGATGAAAATATAATAGGAACAAAATTGGTAAAAGGAAAACTAATGGAGCCACCATACCAAGGACTTGTAAGCTGCAATATATTACATTTTTGATTTTGAATTTAGACTGGGCAGCACAGTGGCTAAATGGTTAGCACTTCTGCTGGGCAGTACTATGGTCGTTGGTTCGAATCCTAACCATGGCACCACCTGCCTGGAGTTTGCATATTCTTCCTGTGCCTGCGTAGGTTTCCTCCGGGTACTCCGGTTTCCTCCCACATGCCAAAGACATGCTGGTAAGTTAATTGCCTCCTGTCTAAATTGTCCCTAGTATGTGTATGTATGAATGTGAGTTAGGGACCTTAGATTGTACGCCCCTTGAGGGTTAGGGACTGATGTGAATGTACAATATATATGTAAAGTGCTGTGTACATTGATGGCGATATACAAGTACCTGAAATAATAGATACGCTATTAAAGAATATGTAAACCCAATATTCCATAATCCTGATATGTGCCTGATGTACCATGTACAAGTCTCCATCCACAAGTCATTGTGCTCTCCTCCAGCGATCAGACTTGTGTTGACACACCTCTCCTGCACAGCCATTCACTGGGAAGATCAGTGTACTGCTGTTTCTCCTCCCCCAGCTCTTATGCAGCTGACAACAGAGGGAACGTGATCACTTATATAAAAAAAAAAAGGGGGGGGGGTTTCTTTAATATTTTTTTATATCTATACACAAATGTTTTACCTTTCATTTTGTTTTTGAACTGAATGGGTTGATTTACAAGATGTGGGTTCACAAATTAAAAATTTAAACGTGCTTTGGACACACCTAGATCTATACTCTGCCACAAAAAAAAAATAGAGTGTGTGTATCATATTGCCAAAAGTATTGGGCCGCCTGGCTTTCCACACACATGACCTTTAATGGCCCCCCCAGTCTTAGTCCGTAGGGTTCAATATTGAGTTGGCCCCGCCCTTTGCAGCTATAACAGATTCACCTCTTCTGGGAAGGCCGTCCACAAGGTTTAGGAGGGTGTCTATGGGAAGGTTGGACCATTCTTCCAGAAGCACATTTGTCAGGTCAGGCACTGATGTCGGGGGAGGAGGCCTGGATCACAGTCTGCCCTCTAATTCATCCCAAAGGTGTTCTATGGGGTTGAGGTCAGGACTCTGTGCAGGACAGTCAAGTTCCTCCACCCCAAACTGGCTCCTCCATGTCTTTATGGACCTTGCTTTGTGCACTGGTGGCAGTCATGTTGGAACAGGAAGGGGCCATCCCCAAACTCTTCCCACAAAGTTGGGAGCATGAAATTGTCCAAAATGTCTTAGTATGCGGACGCCTTAAGAGTTCCCTTCCCTGGAACTAGCCACCATCATTGCTGGGTCTCTGTGCTTCTCTATGTAATGCAGACAGATCATGGCTGGTGGGAGGGGCTGGCAGGGTGTTGTACATAGCTTCCTGAAAACATCCCTTCTCTTAAATGCTTCTGTTTGTCCTCATGTGGGCCAGTAGTTTTAATTTGCATATATTTTTCCCTGGTGCCTCCCTCCTCATGAACATGCTAATGAAAATTAAAACAAAAAATAAAAGTTTGGTTTTCATTACATATCCAGCGACCTCATTACTGGGGCTCTGTTCTTCTCTATGCAATGCAAGCAGATCGTGGCTGGTGGGAGGGATCGGCAGGGTGCTGTACATAGATTCCTGAAAACATCACATCCCCCTGTTTCAGTACTCCTCTCAAGAGCCCTCAGTCCCGATCAGGGGCATACTGACAACTCATGGGGCCCCCAGGCAATAGGAGATCATGGGGCCCCTATGTCCTCGCCCACACTCAAAAAAAAGCCTATAAAAGGTACCAGAGGTTTTCATGCGGCCCCCTACTGACCCCAGGCCCAGGTGCTCGAATGGTCAGTCCCCCCCTGGTCCCGATGCAAACAGTGGGAGGAGTTATGTAAATAAGTAAGTGGATGCAAGTCTGGAGGAGTGGCTGTTTCTTGGCCGGCGGTATTTGCATGTAAACTGCAACATGTGATGCTGAACATCCGTGACTGAAAGAACTGAAACCCAAAGAATGAAAGGGGCGGGGCCAGGGAAGGGCGGGGTAGGAAGAAAGTGCTAGATGATGTTGGGTGTTCTCCAGAAAGGAAATGAGGCAGAGCTCTGTCTGACTGCTTCTAATGCACATTGTGAGCAGCTCACAGTGTGCGGTGAAATCAGAGGAAGCCGTTTCAGTCCAGGAGAGGAGCTGCTACAACTGGGCAAGACTGAAGGTGATACCGGAAGTCAGGTAATAAAATGACTGACTGGCTCAACTCAGAGATGATCTTCCCCGTGTTCAGAAGGCCCGGCTCCTGGATGATTTTTCGCAATAATTAGAAGCTTTATATATGCCAAGTATGGAGTCTTGTAGCCCGCAGGGCAAAAACCTGTTCATACAGAGATTGTCGGTCCGTGTCCTGTGAATGGGGCAGATCTGCCGCCTGGCGTGTGCTGACTTGTGTTCGGTGTCTGCAGGCAGGGTGTCGTCGTATCCGATGTTCGGTGTCTGCAGGCAGGGTGGCGTTGTATCTGATGTTCAGCGTCTGCATGCAGGGGGGCGTTGTATCTGATGTTCAGCGTCTGCATGTAGGGTGTCGTTGTATCCAATGTTCAGCGTCTGCATGCAGGGGGCGTTGTATCTGATGTTCAGCGTCTGCAGGCAGGGTGGCGTTGTATCCAATGTTCAGATGTCTGCAGGCAGGGGGGCGTTGTATCTGATGTTCGGTGTCTGCAGGCAGGGTGGCGTTGTATCCGATGTTTCGTCTGCATGCAGGGGGCGTTGTATCCAATGTTCAGCGTCGTTGTATCAATGTTCAGGTGTCTGCAGGCAGGGTGGCGTTGTATCCGATGTTCAGCGTCTGCAGGCAGGGGGGCGTTGTATCCGATGTTCAGGGTCTGCAGGCAGGGGGGCGTTGTATCCGATGTTCGGTGTCTGCAGGCAGGGTGGTGTTGTATCCAATGTTCGATGTCTGCAGGCAGGGTGGCGTTGTATCCAATGTTCGATGTCTGCAGGCAGGGTGTCGTTGTATCCAATGTTCAGCGTCTGCATGCAGGGTGTCGTTGTATCCAATGTTCGGATGTCTGCAGGCAGGGTGTCGTTGTATCCGATGTTCGGCGTCTGCAGGCAGGGTGGCGTTGTATCCGATGTTCGATGTCTGCAGGCAGGGGGGCGTTGTATCCGATGTTCGGCGTCTGCAGGCAGGGGCGTTGTATCCGATGTTCGGGTCTGCAGGCAGGGGGGCGTTGTATCCGATGTTCGGGGTCTGCAGGCAGGGGGGCGTTGTATCCGATGTTCAGGGTCTGCAGGCAGGGGGCGTTGTATCTGATGTTCGGCATCTGCAGGCAGGGGGGCGTTGTATCCAATGTTCGGCGTCGCAGAGTCCGCAGTTCATCTTCAAAAATACTCCTTTGCTTGTAAATAAATTATACCTCGATGTGAGAATCTGTTGTCAAGTGTTGGTGATCGTTTGCTATAAATTTGTTATTATTTGTGCAATAAATATTGTGTATAAGAAGTCATAGATGTGTAAGAGAAGCTGGGCGTGCACCCATCTAGGGAACTAGGGGGCACCATATTCCCCCCCTGCACCAAACTTTACACTTGGCACAATGCAGTCAGGCAATTACTGTTCTCCTGGCCAGCGCCAATCCCAGACACGTCCATCGGATTGCCAGACAGAGAAGCATGATTGGTCCCTCCAGAGAAGACGTCTCCATGCTCTAGAGTCCAGTGGTGGCGTGCTTTACACCACGGCATCCGCCGCTTTGCATTACACTTGGTGATGGAAGGCTTGGATGCAGCTGCTCGGCCATGGAAACCCATTCCATGAAACTCTCTATGCAAGGTTGTTGTGCTCATCTGAAGGCCACACCAAGTTTGGAGGTCTTTAACTATTGACTCTGCAGACAGTTGGTGACTTCTGCACACTGTGCGCTTCAGCATGCACTGACCCCGCCCTGTCATGTGACGTGGCCTACCACTTGGTGGCTGAGTTGCTGTTGTTCCCAGTTGCTTCCACTTTGTTATAATCCCACTAACAGTTGAGCGTGGAATATTTAGTAGCCAGGAAATGTCACGGATGGACTTATTGCACAGGTGACCACCTATCTCGGGACCACGCTTGGAGTCACTGAGCTCCTGAGAGCGACCCATTCTTTCACCAATGTTTGTAGAAGCAGTCTGCATGCCTAGGGGCTTGATTGTATACACCTGTGTCCATGGAGGGGATTGGAACACTTGAATCACATGATTTGGAGGGCGGGCCCAATACTTTTGGCAATATAGTGTATGTGTGTATTGTTTGTGTGTTTGTTGTGTTTATGTTGTTGTTTTTATTTGTTTTTTGTTTTTTATATGTTTGTTTGTAATTATGTTTTTGTGTGTTTTTTTTTTATTTTGTGTTTTTTTTTGTGTTTGTGATTCCATAAATCGCAGATTATTTCTGTGTTGAAATCCAGAATTATTTGTCATTTTTTAATTCCCTGAACAGCTGTTTATGTGCGGCAGACCGGAGTGGATTGTGCTCAGTAACAAGGAACTGAGCCGATTCCTGGAAGAAAACCTCACAACGAGCACAATGCACCTGAATCCATCCGCTGATAATTCAACGTATTAATAATCTTTTTATAGCGTTTGTAAGTCGATAATACCCACTTCCCAGAAATGAGTGGGAATGGGAGACATGCAGGAGGCAGATTAGCGGTTTTCATTCCTTTCCCCGAATCGGGACTTGATGACGGCTTCTGCGGATACAGGTGTTTATTTCTTCATTTAGATTCCTTGGTTGGATAAAAAAAAGGAAATAAATAACTTAAACCTCAACTTCAGGCAGATCAAAAGACCCAACCGATTGCTCTGTAATCCTTAATACATCCCTGAATATATTTTGTATACAAAGCAGTGTAGGGACCTAAATTTTAACCTGGTATCGTCTCTTGTAGTCTTTGTACAGCAGAGCTCAGACTGGAGAGGGGGAAGCAGAACTAAAAGCTAATCTGGGGTGTTGCATTGCAAGAAGCATGCTGATAGGAAGAGAGAGGCGTGAGCTCATCAGTTGCTGCTATTGATCCTGTTGCTAGGTGGGGGTGGGGAGGAGAGCTGTAAGTGAAAGTGAAACTGAAGAAATGAATGCTCCGCTTCCCTCATCTGCTGGCATGACTGTTCGGTGTGACATAGCTGTGTAGATCACAGGACTGGATGGACAGAAATGCTAATACAAACAACCCCAGTGCAGTTTTTATTGCTGTCTGTGTGGATTCACCATCTCTATTTTATCCCAATGACCATTGTCATAGAGATGAAAAGTGATGGGAAAATCAAATTTTTTTACAGTTGTCACCAGGCAAGAGGTGAAGGTAAATCCTCCAATGGGGACACCTGTCTAAAGAGAGATTCCCTTCCACTTCCTGTTGTATCTCCAGACAATCCACTGTCTTGCCTGCTAAGTGGAGAACACTTAGATTCTAGAACTAAGTTCCTGGGCTCCAAATCCCACTTGGGGTGCATCTGCATGGAGTTTGTATGCTTTCATATTATTGTGGGGGGGGGGGGGGTTCTTCTCATGGTTTTTTTTTTTGTTTGTGTTTCTAAACCCAGGACCTGAACCAGCTTCCTGAAAATATCACAGCCCCCCCTGCCTCAGTACTCCTCTCAAGAGCGCTCAGTCCCGATGCAAACAGTGGGAGGAGTTATGTAAATATCAAAATGCCTTGATAGGTGGCTGGAAGTCTGGAGGAGTGGCTGTTTCTTGGCCGGCGGTGTTTGCATGTAACTGCAACATGTGATGCTGAACATCCGTGACTGAAAGAACTGAAACCCAAAGAATGAAAGGGGCGGGGCCATGGACAGTTGGGGTGGGCAGGAAAGTGCTAGATGATGTTGGGTGTCCTCCAGCCAGGAAATGAGGTGGAGCTCTATCTGACTTAGAAACTCAGAGATGATCTTCCCCGTGTTCAGAAGGCCTGGCTCCTGGATGATTTTTTCGCAATAATTAGAAGCTTTATATATGCCAAGTATGGAGTCTTGTAGCCCGCAGGGCAAAAACCTGTTCATACAGAGATTGTCGGTCCGTGTCCTGTGAATGGAGCAGATCTGCCGCCTGGCGTGTGCTGACTTGTGATCGGCGTCTGCAGGCAGGGGGACATTGTATCCGATGTTCGGTGTCTGCAGGCAGGGTGTCGTTGTATCGGATGTTCGGTGTCTGCAGGCAGGGTGTCGTTGTATCCAATGTTTGGTGTCTGCAGGCAGGGTGTCGTTGTATCCGATGTTCGGCGTCTGCAGGCAGGGGGGGGCGTTGTATCCGATGTTCGGTGTCTGCAGGCAGGGTGGCGTTGTATCCAATGTTCGGCGTCTGCAGGCAGGGGGGCGTTGTATCCAATGTTCGGTGTCTGCAGGCAGGGTGTCCTTGTATCCGATGTTGGGCGTCTGCAGGCAGGGTGTCCTTGTATCCGATGTTGGGCGTCTGCAGGCAGGGTGTCGTCGTATTCGATGTTCCGTGTTGTCTGCAGGCAGGGTGTCATCGTATCCGATGTTCGGCGTCTGCAGGCAGGGGGGCGTTGTATCCGATGTTCGGCGTCTGCAGGCAGGGGGGGGCGTTGTATCCAATGTTCGGCGTCTGCAGGCAGGGTGTCATCGTATCCGATGTTCAGTGTCTGCAGGCAGGGTGTCATCGTATCCGATGTTCGGCGTCTGCAGGCAGGTGATGTTGTATCCGATGTTCGGCATCTGCAGGCAGGGGGGGGCATTGTATCCGATGTTCGGCGTCTGCAGGCAGGTGTTGTATCCAATGTTTGGCGTCACAGAGTGCCGCAGTTCATCTTCGGAAATATTCATTTGTTTCTAAGCCGCTTTTACCTCGATGTGGGAATCTGTTGTGGAGTGTTGGTGATTGTTTGCCATAAAATTTGTATTATTTTTTGCAATAAATATTGTGATATAAGAGGCCATAGATGTGTAAGAGAAGACGGGCGTGCACCCATCTAGGGCGGGATGTAAGAAAGGGACCCCAAACTTGGCAGTACAGGGGCCACATTGTATATTCTAAGATACAGTTGCAAGAAAAAGTATGTGAACCCCTTGGGATTACGTGGAGTTTTGCATGAATTGGGCATAAAATGTGCTCTGAACGTCATCTAAGTCACAACAATAGAAGAACACAGTCTGCTGAACATAATACTACACAAACATTAGATGTCGCCATGCTTTAATTGCACATAACATGTAAACATTCACAGTGCAGGGAGGAAAAAGTATGTGAACCTTTGGACTTAATAACTGGTTGACCCTCCTTTGGCAGCAATAACCTCAACCAAACGTTTCCTGTAGTTGCAGATCAGACCTGCACAACGATCTGGAGTCATTTTGGACCACTCCTCTTCACAAAACTGTTTCAGTGTAGCAATATTCTTGGGATGTCTGGTGTGAATCGCTCCCCCCCCCCCCCCCCCCCCCCCCCCCCCCCCCCCCCCCCCCCCACCCCCCCCCCCCCCCCCCCCCCCCCCCCCCCCCCCCCCCCTCTTTAAGGTCATGCCACATTTTTTTCAATGGGGTTGAGGTCAGGACTCTGACTGGGTCACTCCAGAAGGTGTATTCTGTCCTGTTGCAGCCATTGTTTTGTTGAATTACTTGTATGCTTTGGGTCATTGTCCTGTTGCATCACCCATCCTCTGCGGAGCTTCAGTTGGCGGACAGATGGTCGTACGTTTTCCTGCAAAATGTCTTGATAAACTCTGGAATTCATTTTCCCATCAATGACAACAATCCGTCCAGGCCCTGAGGCAGCAAAGCAGCCCCAAACCATGATGCTCCCTCCGCCATGTTTTACAGTGGGGATGAGGTTTTGATGTTGGTGTGCTGGGCCTTTTTTTCTCCACACATAGTGTTGTGTGTTCTTCCCAAACAACTCAATCTTGGTTTCATCTGTCCACAGTATATTTTGCCAGTAGTGCTGTGGAACATCCAGGTGCTCTTTTGCAAACTTCAAACGTGCTGCAATATTCTTTTTGGACAGCAATGGCTTCCTCCGTGGTGTCCTCCCATGTACTCCATTCTTTTTCTTCTTTAATGTTTTCCTTATTGTAGATGTGTCAACAAAAATGTTAGCATGTTTTTTTTCTGTAGGTCTTTAGCTGACACTCTGGGATTCTTCTTTACCTCATGCAGCATTCTGCGCTGTGCTCTTGTAGTCATTTTTACAGGACGACCACGTTCTAGGGAGAGTGTCTACAAATGGAGAAAGTTTAGCACTGTTGCTAGTCTGTCTTACCGTGGACACATGAACATCAAGGCTTTTGGAGATACTTTTGTAACCCTTTCCAGCTTCATGCAAGTCAACAATTCTTGATCGTAGGTCTTCTGAGAGCTCTTTTCTGGGAGGCATTGACTCCTGGCTCCAATTAGCTCTGGGAGAAGTCATTAAGCTAGAGCCTCACATACTTTTTCCTCCCTGCACTGTGAATGTTTACATGTTATGTGCAATGAAACCATGGCAACATCTAATGTTTGTGTAGTATTATGTTCAGCAGACTGTGTTCTTCTATTGTTGTGACTTAGATGACGTTCAGAGCACATTTTATGCCCAATTCATGCAAAACTCCACGTAATCCCAAGGGGTTCACATACTTTTTCTTGCAACTGTATGTATGTATGTGTGTATACATATGTGTGTGTATGTATATATGTGTGTGTGTGTGTGTGTGTGTGTGTGTGTGTGTATATGTATGTATGTGTGTGTGTGTGTTTATATATACATATATATATATATATATTATATATATATATATATATATATATTATATATATATATATATATACACACACACAGCACTTCAGCAAAAAATTACTTTATGCTCAGTTTCACGTCTCTCCAAGTTTTTCCTCAAGTTCAAACACATTTCAAAGCATTTAAAATAGCAGCTCTAGTGCACACGTATACATGATTTTGATATCCTATAAAAATAAATTTCCTATAAAGCCTCATGTCCATATATAAATGTTCTATAAAAATTCCTATGTGTCCAAATACCAATGTATTGTATATATTATTTAATAAAGGTAATAAATGTATTGTGGGTTTTTCAGGTTTCTCCATCTCGAACGGTAACCTCAAAGCGACTCCCTAGAGATCCGAATTACAATAATCCTGCGTCACGACGCGCCGCGTCGTTGCGGATTCTCGGAATAGCCGGATGAAAGCGTGAAGAAATTTATCCTTCGCTGATCCATAATCTGGATCTCGGTCTCATCCTAAGGGGGGGGCTCCTTATTGGAGGGAGGAAGTTGGGGACATCTGTAATGGACTCAGACCTGTTCCTGTCCTCTGATCTCCGCAGCGGCGGCCCAGCGACACCCACCCCGGGCTCACGGCTGTTATTTTTGGATGGGACTGTGGAGAGCCTCTGCCTCCTCTCCCAGCTTTGTACTCTTTATCCTCTCTGTTTAATCAGGATAAACACAGAGCTTGGAGACGGGAGCAGGAAGGGGCCTGCCACTGAGCAGCAGATGAAAGGCAGGCGAAGATGAATGGAGCGGAGGGGGCCAGGGGCCACACCGAGGCTGCGATGAAAGAAGACTGAGCATAAATGCAAAATAAAGACGATTTAATGAATGTCTGGGGAGTTTGCGGAGAAGACTTAGTAGGACTTAAAGAGAATATTTAAGGTCACTCATTCAGCTGTCAGCAGGTGGTGAAAGGTTGGACTTCTGGCCCAGAGGGTTAGTAAAAGTTGGCACCACATCCAAGTCTATAACAAAGGTTTTAGGGATTGTAGAAAAAAAGCTCAGGGTTCAGGAGAATTGCATAAATCTGGTAAAAAAAAAAAATGACACCTAGCCATCAAGTTACAACTTGCCTTCCGGAAGGTTTTATCCCCTTCATGACCAAGCCATTTTTTGCTATACAGCACTGCAGTACTTTAACTGAAAATTTTAATTTCCGATCTTTTTTTTTTTTTTTTTTTTTTTTTTCGCACAAATAGAGCTTTCATTTGGTGGTATTTTACAACCATTGTTTTTTTTTTTTTTTTTTTTGGACTATAAACGAAAAAAAGACCAAATTAAAAAAAAAAAGCAATATATATAAAACATAGCCCATAAAAAATAAAAATTATAAATACATTTAGAGCAAAATGTATTCTGCTACATGCCTTTGGTAAAAAAAAAAAAAAAAAAAAATCCATATCCCAAATATGTGTATATTAATTGTTTTGCATGAAAATGATAGTGTCTGCAAAGGACCGCATATATACTGGAATTTGTAATTAAATTCTTTTTAATACTAGTAATAGCGGTGCTCAGTATCTTATAATGGGACTGTGATAGCACAGCGGGCATTCTGACATTAGGGCTCTGTTCACACTAATGTGTTTTTTTTTTTTTTTTTTTTTAGTGCTTTTTGTAGAAACGCACTACAGTTCATTTACCATGGTTCCCTACGGGCCACGTTCACATCTATACATTTGTGAGCTGCTGAGTTTTTGGAAAGGGTGGTAGACTTTATGTTTAAAAGTAGCATATTTGCTACAATAGAGTTCAATTGGAGAATCTGCTGAAATGTATGGTAGTGCGTTTTTGCTGCTTTTGCGTTTTTGCATTTTTATTCTGACCCAGCAACAAAAAAAAATTCCACTTTTTAACACACAAAAACATCAAAAATGCATGTAGTAAAGCGCAAAACAAACTGCAAAAAGCACTGGAGAAAGCATCAAACACAAAATGCATATATGTGAACCTTTTTGGGCAGGAGCTTTGGGCATCCAGAGAAAAATAGGAAAAATTAGCACAGGGTGCAGAACCAATATGGAACTCCTCCCCACTCCCCTTAGTACCAACCCCCATTTCAGATACAGCAATTGCCCCCCCCCCCCCCCCCCCCCCCCCATCCCCCAGTACAAATCCTTACCTTCCTCCCCTAATCCCCAAATCTTTTCCCTAGCTACATCTTCCCCCTCCCTTTAATACAAGTACTTCTCCGCCGCCTTAGTACAGCTCCCTCTGAGTACATATTCCCCCACCCCCCAGAACACATTTTTACCCTCCTCCCCAAATACAGATCTTCCTCTAGCGCAGATCTCCCCCCCCTGAATACAAGTCCCACTTAGTACAGCTCCTTCTACACCCATTGCAGATCTCCCCCACTCCCCTTAGTACATCAACCTCCATTGCAGGTCTCCCTCCACCTCCATTGCAGGTCTCCCTCCACCTCCATTGTAGGTCTCCCTCCACCTCCATTGCAGTCTCCTCCCTCCCCCTTAGTACATCTCCCTCCACCTCCATTGCAGATCCCCCCCACCCCTATGCAGATCGTCCTCCCTTGGTACATATCCCCCCCCCCCCCCCCCCCAGTTCAAATCATCTTCCCCAGGGGTTAGGGGGAAGTCCTCCCTTGGCTGTGCTGTGTGTCAAGGAGTAGATGAGGAAAATCTTCCCTTGCTCCGAACTTCAGCTGCCCTTCGCAGACCTGATGGGCAGCAGGAACGGTGGCCGCAGTGTGCAGAGGGTTTCAGCAATGGCTGGCGGCAGCAGCTGCACCTTGAATGCTTTGGCAAAGTGGTGGGTGGGGGGGGGGGGGGTCCCTAAATACACACTATTACTACTACTATGGACAAGCCTCCCATGTCCTTCAATGACTTGCAGACACCTCCTGTGTTGGCATATTGGGGGGAAAATAAGGCAATCGATTACAGTTCTAAAGCATGTTAACTCCCATGGATGCCTCAGTCAACGGTGTCTGTCTCTCTGTGCCTTCTAGTCATTAGATCATCACCTGATCCAGACCAACGATTGGGGATTATCTATAGCAATAAATTCTCTCGTTAGAACAACTTTATGACAATTCAAACCATTGCATTGTAGAAACATGAAAAACTGCATCAGTGGGCTGTGGTGACATTCACTTTTGATGGCATCCCTCTGCACCTTACCCAATGTCTGTGAATTGCAGTGCACCACAACACATAGTAATGCAATACCCTGCATTGGAGGAGGGGGGGTGTTACAAAAAGTAATGCATGCCCCTTTTATGGTGCATTAGCCAGCCCATTTCAATGAACAGGCTTCTTCAACACAGTGAAGAACAACTCATGGCCTACAGTGTGAACCCACCTAAGTGTTTAAGATCTGAAAACAAATTATTTCTAAACCAATTTTTATATCAGACATTCTAACTTTGTAACTTTTTTTTTTTTCTATAGACATACCTGGACCGAGAAGGTGTCACTCTGGAAGCAATACTTTGTACCCATAAACACTGGTATGTACCATCTCTGACATCTTTCATTGATGTATCAATGCTGTGAAATTAGAGATGTGTGAACCACAGCGAGATACCAACGGCCAAATTCCAAAAATGCACTGAACACCACAACTTCACGATTGAGGGAAATTATTAATTGACAAATATTATTATGCAGGGGGTCTTGGCACACCCCAGTTGAATATCCGGTAAACCAGTTAAATACATTCCAAAGACCTCAAAACAAAAAGTGTGCAAAGTTTAGTAGCTAATTTACTTTAAAAAGCAGCCCGAGCTTGAGTAGAAAAGCCTGTCCACTTACGGCATACTGCAGAGTAGGGCTCTTGCTCTGTATGTGGAAGCTGTGGTCTCTCTCTGCAGAGATCTAAGGCACCCCCTTGCTGACGCAGACCTCTTGCCCTGTAATCAGTAAAGCTCAAGGTAATTGCTGAGATTTAGCTCTGACTCAACAGGGAAAGGGGGGGTTAGTACATAGGGTCGTATTAAGCTATAAATCGGCCTTTATGGGCAGAGTCATAGGTGTTGATGTTCATAAACTGTTCCACCTCCTATGTAAGCTGGTGCCCTGGAGGCCACCACAAGTGCCAGAATTCACAATATTCTATTGTGGTGCCACTGCTACGGTTCACGGGAACTGCTACCCAGGCTGGGTAACAGATTTAGTGAATGGTATGTACTATATGTCCCAAGAGTTTGTGGACACTTGACCATCACAACAACTGCATGACCAAAAGTATGAGGACCCCAACAATTCATGATGAATGAGTTCAGGTGTGTCCAGTGAAGGGTATAGCTAATGCTGCAGTATACATAGACATTTCAGATAACTGAAACCTTGTGGCAACAGTTTGGGGAAAGCCATATTCAATTCCAGCATAACTGCGCTTTGTGCACAAAGCTAGCTCCACAAGGATAAGGTTTGGTGTGGAAGACCTTGAGTGGAATACCCAGATCCATGACCTCAACCCTACTGAACACCTTACGGATGATGTGAAATGAGCTAGGTCTCAACCAACATCTCCATAAACACATGGTTTGATGAGTTTGGGTGGAGGAATAGAAGTGGCCAGCACAGAGCCCTGACGTCAACCTTAAGAACACCTTAAGCTGGCCCTACAATATGCAATTTTCTTGTTCAATTTCCTTTAGATTTACCTTCAGCTATATAGTGCAAGGGCCTGTCTGATTGCATACCAATTGAAAGTGTTTAGGTTTGATCTCATATTATTGCGCCAAAAAATGCATAAAATTGTATAATGTATGGCTAGCCTTAGGAATGAATTTGAAGAAGCTAACAATGTCTTCTCAACCAAAATCTATGTAAAAACATTGCTTGGTG